AGCGCCGATCGCCACCGCAGTGAGGGTCCGGTTTATGCACCTGGAGATCGGGTCTGGCTCTCAACCAGAAACCTGCCCCTTCACCTGCCCTGCCGGAAGCTGGGCCGGCGGTTTGTGGGGCCATTTAAAGTCCTGAGGAGATTGAACGAGGTATGTTATAGGTTAAAGCTGCCTATTAATTATCGCATTAACCCCTCGTTCCATGTGTCTCTCCTCAGGCCGGTGGTAGCTGGTCCACTCCAGGAGAATGAGGTACGAGAGGCCCCTCCGCCCCCACTGGACATCGAAGGGGCTCCGGTGTACTCAGTCCGTTCCATCGTGGATTTGAGGCGTCGGATGGGGGGTCTGCAGTATCTCGTGGAGTGGGAGGGGTACGGTCCGGAGGAACGGTGCTGGGTCCCTAGGAGGGACATCCTAGATCCCTCCCTGTTGACAGAGTTCCACCGGAGTCATCCGACTCGCCCTGCTCCGCGTCCTCCTGGCCGTCCCCGAGGCCGGGGTCGGCGCACGGCTGGAGCCGCGCGTCAAGGGGGGGGGTACTGTCGATTCTGCCGAGGCTGCTCCTCCTCCTTGCTCGGGCAGGCTTCGGCGTTCGTCGTCCCCGGAGTACTAGCTGCTGCCGATCGATATTATCGGTGTCTGTCTAGTTTTGTCTGTATTGTTTACACCTGTTCGTCATTATGTTTGATTGTTGTCCTATAATTACCCCTGTCTCTCATCGGGATCTTGTGTGTGATTGTTTCCCTTCACGTATGTCATTTTGTGAGCGGGTTATTTCCTCCCTGCGTGGAGTTATTCTGTGTTCATCTTTTCAGTATCGGATTAAAGTACGTGTCCGAGAGTTCTGTGTCCTGCGCCTGACTTCTTCAACCGCATCTCACTGACAGCCGTGACACCTACTTGGAGTAAATTAGTGAACAACAATGCCCAGGCCTCTACTTCCGGTCTATACTTACTATCTACACCCTATGGACAGAGTTAATTTTACAATAATTATATTATATATATATATATATATATATATATATATATATACATACATATATATATTTTTTTGCTCCTGAACTTCTTCTACTCTCAACCTCTCCGATCATTTTCATGATGTCCATCCGGTTTGCTTCTATATGCCATATCTTTCTAACTGTGCTCTTTCCCAAAAGCTCCCAACATACAACCTATATACTTATTATGGACACAGTATGCTTACATTATTAGCTATCTTTGTTATTATTTGCTGTTATTTGTTATTAGTCCCATCCTTCAACTCTATTCAATACCTCCCTTCTATCTCTTAACACCATCCATATAGGATTTCTATTTGCCATATATATTTCAACCGTACTGTGATGTTTTACAAAAGTTCTGAACCTTTCTATTCTCATTGCTTCTACAGATTGTGAATTAAAAATAAACATTTTTGCTAAAAGTATTATTATATTATTGATTGATTGACTATGACTTTTCAGATCACCCAGTAATGCTATCTGCAAGGTTAGCTCCAGGTAAAGGGGTGGCTATTTGAAGAATCTCAAATATAAAATATATTTTGATTTGTTTAAGACTTTTTTGGTTACTACATGATTCCATATGTGTTATTTCATAGTTCTGATGTCTTCACTATAATTCTACAATGTAATAAATAGTATAAATAAAGAAAATCCCTTGAATGAGTAGATGTGCCAAACTTTTGACTGGTAGTGTACGTCCACAATATCTCAGTCTCTTTCTCATGCGATTGACAGGGATTTGGGCCTTGTCGGATGTCTGTAGAATATCCTTTGCGTCTTTGTCCAATACGAGGTGAGTAATCGCTGTCCTGATATCCAGAAGCTATTTTTGGTCATAAGAGACGGCGGCAGAAACATTATGTACAGAATAAATTACAAATAATGCGAAAAAACACACATATTAGCACAATTGGTTAGGGGGCTGTAAAACGGCAGCCATCTCCTCCGGCGCCATCTTGTTATGGCATCTTGTTACATTACAGCCTTATTCTAAAATGGATTAAGTAAATACAAATCCTCAGCAATCTAGACATAATAACCCATAATCACAAAGCGAAAACAGGTTTTTAGACATTTTTGCAAATTTAAAAAACAGAAATACCTTATTTACATAAGTATTCAGATCCTTTGTTATGAGACTCGAAATTGAGCTCACGTGCATCCTGTTTCCATTGATCACCCTTGAGATGTTTCTACAACTTGATTGGAGTCCACCTGTGGTACATTCAATTGATTGGACATTATTTGGAAAAGCACAGACCTGTCCCACAGTTGACAGTGCATGTCAGAGCAAGAATCAAGAGGTCAAAGGAATTGTTCGTAGAGCTCCGAGACAGGATTGTGTCGAGGCACAGATCTGGGGAAGGGTACCAAAACATTTCTGCAGCATTGAAGGTCCCCAAGAACACAGTGGCCTCCATCATTCTTAAATGGAAGAAGTTTGGAACCACCAAGACTCTTCCTAGAGCTGGCCGCCCGGCCAAACTGAGCACTCGAATGAGAAGGGCCTTGGTCAGGGAGGTGACCAAGAACCCGATGGTCACTCTGACAGAGCTCTAGAGTTCCTCTGTGGAGATGGGAGAACCTTCCAGAAGGACAACCATCTCTGCAGCACTCCACCAATCAGGCCTTTATGGTAGAGTGGCCAGACGGAAGCCACTCCTCAGTAAAAGGCACATGACAGCCCGCTTGGAGTTTGCCAAAAGGCACCTAAAGACTCTCAGACCATGAGAAATAAGATTCTCTGGTCTGATGAAACCAAGATTGAACTCTTTGGCCTGAATGCCAGCTTGGCACCATCCCTACAGTGAAGCATGGTGGTGGCAGTATCATGCTGTGGGAATATTTTTCAGCGGCAGGGACTGGGAGACTAGTCAGGATCGAGGGAAAGATGAACAGAGCAAAGTACAGAGAGATCCTTGATGAAAACCTGCTCCAGAGCGCTCAGGGCCTCAGACTGGGACGAAGGTTCACCTTCCAACAGGACAACGACCCTAAGCACACAGCCAAGACAACGCAGGAGTGGCTTCGGGACAAGTCTCTGAATGTCCTTGAGTGGCCCAGCCAGAGCCCAGACTTGAACCCGATCTAACATCTCTGGAGAGACCTGAAAATAGCCGTGCAGCGAAGCTCCCCATCCAACCTGACAGACCTGAGAGGATCTGCAGAGAAGAATGGGAGAAACTTCCCAAATACAGGTGTGCCAAGCTTGTAGCGTCATACCCAAGAAGACTCAATGCTGTAATCGCTGTCAAAGGTGCTTCAACAAAGTACTGAGTAAAGGGTCTGAATACTTATGTAAATGTGATATTTTTTTAAAATAAAAATTTGCAAACATTTCTAAAAACGTGTTTTTGCTTTGTCATTATGGAGTATTTTTTGTAGATTGATGAGGGAAAAAAACAATTTTATGATTTTTATAATAAGGCTGTAACATATGGAAAAGGTTAAGGTGTGTGAATACTTTCCGAAGGCAATGTAGATCTTCTACACAGATTCTGTCAGACCTGGGCCCTGACCGTAAATCTCAGTATGACAAAAATAATGGTGTTCCAAAAAGGTCCAGTTGCCAGGACCACAAATACAAATTCCATCTAGACACCGTTGCCCTCGAGCACACAAAACACTATACATACCTTGGCCTAAACATCAGCACCACAGGTAACTTCCACAAAGCTGTGAATGATCTGAGAGGCAGGAAGGGCCTTCTATGCCATCAAAAGGAACATATATTTTGACATACCAATTAGGATCTGTCTAAAAATACTTGAATCAGTTATAGAACCCATTGCCCTTTATGGTTGTGAGGTCTGGGTTCCGCTCACCAACCAAGAATTCACCAAATCGGACAAACACCAAATTGAGACTCTGCATGCCGAATTCTTCAAAAATATCCGCTGCGTACAACTTAAAACACAAAATAATGCATGCAGAGCAGAATTAGTCCGATACCCGCTAATGATCAAAATCCAGAAAAGAGCCGTTAAATTCTATAACCACCTAAAAGGAAGCGATTCTCAAACCTTCCATAGCAAAGCCATCACCTACAGAGAGATGAACTTGGAGAAGAGTCCCCTAAGCAAGCTGGTCCTGGGGCTCTGTTCACAAACACAAACAGACACCACAGAGCTCCAGGACAGCAACACAATTAGACCCAACGAAATCATGAGAAAACAAAAATATAATTACTTGACACATTGGAAAGAATTAACAAAAAAACTGAGCAAACTAGAATGCTATTTGGCCCTTAACATAGACTACACAGTGGCAGAATACCTGACCACTGTGACTGACCCAAAATTAAGGAAAGCTTTGACTATGTACAGACTCAGTGAGCATAGCCTTACTATTGAGAAAGGTCACCGTAGACAGACCTGGCTCTCAAGAGAAGACAGGCTATGTGCACACTGCCCACAAAATGAGGTGGAAACTGAGCTGCACTTCCTAACCTCCTGTCAAATGTATGACCATATTAGAGACACATATTTCCCTCAGATTACACAGACCCACAAAGAATTCGAAAACAAATCCATTTTTGACCAACTCCCATATCTATTGGGTGAAATACCACAGTGTGCAATCACAGCAACAAGATTTGTGACCAGCGAAGAACAAACACCATTGTACATTTATTTTCCTTTTTTTTACTTTAACTATTTGCACATTGTTACAACACTGTATATAGACATACTATGACCTTTAAAATGTCTTTATTATTTTGGAACTTGTGTGAGTGTAATATTTACTGTTCACTTTTTATTGTTTATTTCACTTTTGTTTATCCATTTCACTTGCTTTGGCAATGTAAACATATGATTCCCATGCCAATAAAGCCCCTTGAATGTAATTGAATTGAATTGAATTGAGAGAGAATGAGAGAGAGGAAGAAAGAGAGAGAGAACGAGATAGGGAGAGAGAGAGAGACCTAGTGAGAGAGATAAACTCACTCTTGACAGTGAGGACCATGCTCTTGCTGATGTCAGAGCCCACTCCGTTGGAGGCCTGACAGAGGTAGTATCCCCGGTCGTCCTCTAGGACATGCCGAATCAGCAGGGAGCCGTTGGACATGATCTGGATCCGACCAGTCAGAGGCACAGGGTGGTACTGCTGGGGGTTCCCTATACCTACAGGGAGGAATGGCACAGTCATGTCAAGTCAAATTTACACATGGTGATATTGGTTTCTAATCTTACGCTTGGATGTACATTAGTTACGATGTTACAGTAGAGAATAAAAATACAAAAATGTGCTAATGTTATCTTTCATCATCAATTCAACTTTATTGTACAAGTTCTTTCACTAAGATAAATAGAATAGTAGACAGTTAGTTAGTTGATGTCATTAGTACTGCAGGGTGTTGGTCTTTACCTTTGGCGTGTTTCCACATGACTTTGGGAGGGGGGTATCCCTCTACAGAACAGTTTAGTACTCCTGCCTTCCCATAGATCCCATCCTGGTTGTTGGGCTGGACCACGAAGCGAGGGGGAACTAAGTGAGGAGGGGTTATAGTTAGTACAGTCATTATAATTGACAATAACATCTCTAAAATGGTGGATATCCTTCAATTATTCTCCAATCCTTCTGTGTTTTCTTAATATCTTCCAGCTTTTATAACCAGTCTGTCCATCCCTTCATTCTTTACCTTTCTCAAATTCTTCCACACCACTTATTTTCCAATCCTTCCTCTCCTTCTCACCCTCCCTCCATCCTCCCCTCTCCTCCCTCTCTCACCGGTGACGATCAGCTGTCTCTCCCAGCTGACGGTTGCCGCGGCGTTGCTAGCGATGCAGGTGTAGTTGCCGTTGTGCTTCAGCGTCACCTTGGAGATCTGCAAGGAGCTCATGAATTCCTTGGTCTCTATGCCAACACCAGAGGCAGAACCAGGCACGATGAGTTGCCCGTCTTTGTGCCAGGTTATGCGGATGGGCATATCACCTGACGACACCACGCAGGCGATGTACATGAGCTTTCCCACCGACGTGGAGGGGATATCAAAGGGCTGGATCAGGGGTGGCACTGGGGGGCAGAGGTTACAGAGGTCAGAGGTTAGAGGTCCCAACCCTGACCCCCTTCCATCTCCACCAGCCCATAATAGGTGCTCTGATTACAGGCCAACTGGCGGAGGAAGTCATGCCGTTGCCATGGTCGCGAAAGGGGGTGGGGTGGTGCTACTGCTGAGACGTCAAGGGGATTTAATCTGGGCCTCATTATGATTCATCTAATTAAATCAGAGACACACACACACACACTTCTACAGACCCCCCCAACACACACACACAAACACACCTAAATCCCCCATGCTTGCCACCCAACACACACACACACACACACACACACACACACACACACACACACACACACACACACACACACACACACATTAATATAAAGCTAGATGCTTTTAACACCATGGTGTGACCACCCTGTTAAGTTGATTGCCTCGTTACGACTAGGAAGTAACCTTGCCCAAACATGGGTGACTTTCAACAAATCCATTGCATTGGAGTGAGCGGTTACATCTGGTCATTGGTAGATAATTTAGATTTAGTGCAACACATCATCCCTTCCCCCTTTCCCTTCCCTATGCCACCCTTGCCAATACCCTGTCCTCCACCCCTGTCCAGTCCCCTACCTTTGACGGTGACGTGGACAGTCTGGTCGATAGAGGTCTGTGGCTGGATGAGTACACTACACAGGTAGGTACCCTCATCCATGCCCTTCTGCACATCACTCAGCCTCAGCGTTCCATTCTCATACACCACCTGGCGATGGTTGTCAGGCAGCAGCATGCCATCCTTAAACCACTTGATAGAGTAGTAGGGGTAACCAATCACACGACAGGTTATAAAGGTGTTCCTTCCTGCCACAGCCGTGATGTCACGCATCTCCCTGATCCTAGGTGAACCTGGAGACACAGAGAAGAGAGGGAGGACGAGGGGAGCGGAGGAGAGGAGGGAGAGAGGAGGAAGAAGAAAGGTGAAAAAAGGGGAGTAAGAGACAGGAAGAGGGAGGAGGAGACGGGGGTGGAGAGAGGAGAGAGTGGGAGGAGAGAGAGAGGAAGAAGAGGAAGAGATGAAGAGGAGAGGGGGGAAGAGAGACAGGGAAGGGGGGGAAGAAGAGAGAGGGAGGAGGGACAGGGTGGAAGAGGATGAGAGAGGGAGGAGGAGACAGGGGTGGAAGAGGAGAGAGGGGAGAAGGAGACAGGGGTGGAAGAGGAGAGAGAGGGGAGGAGGAGACAGGGGTGGAAGAGGAGAGAGAGGGGAGGAGGACATGGGAGAAAAGGGGAGGAGGAGAGGAGGAGAGGAGAGAGAAGATAAAGGTTGGGGAGAGAGTGATTGGGGCAGATTGAGGGGTAGAGAAGGAGGTTAGTGATGCCCCCTTAACCCAGTCATACTGGTTATATTTGTAATATCTATTAATTATTTGTGTTTTCTAAGTGATTGTGTGTATGGGTGTGTATGCACGTTTGACTACATTATCCTCAGTAACACTGTCCTATGGTCTTGATGAGAACAGACATGGTCTTTGCTGTGGTCTTGATGAGAACAGATAGATAGAGACATGCATAGAGATAGAGTGAGAGTAAGAGAGACATCCAGGTAGACAGACACACAGCAAAAGAGAGAGAAACACACACTGGGCAAGACACAGACAGAGAAACAGGGAGCAAGAGAGAGGGAGAGAGGGAGAGAGACACACATACAGAGAAAGAGACAGAGTAAGAAAGAGGGATGACGGTTGGAGGGTTGGGGTTGGGTGTGTGAAGAGACTCTAAACCTCGCTGTGAGTGTTAGTGCATGTATGCATGTGTGTTGGATGTGTGTATGTGTTGCACGTTTGTCTAACTCCTTACACATCTCTACCTGTCTCTGTACTGTATACTTATTGCCAGTGTGTGTATAGGTGCGGGTGTGGGGTGCGTGTATATTGAAAAGTAGACAGGCACCTCTTACGTTTATGCGCGCTTGGTACTCGGCGCTACCGGCCGAGTTGCGTGCGGCGCAGCGATACACTCCCCCGTCGCGGATGGCCGGGCTGCTGACGTTGACATGTGACACGGTCAGGCCGTCTGATAGGGTGTACTGGCTGGTCTTGTAGGCGGAGTCTCGCACTACAGGTTCGTCGTCCAGCGTCCAGGTGATGGAGGGGGGTGGGGCTCCCTTGGAGGCACACATCAGGGAGAAGGGCTCACCGGGGGCGACCACACGCTCACTGAAGGAGGACACAATACGAGGAGTGCCGTCTACAGGAGAGATAGATGGAGAGAGAGAGAGAGAGAGAGAGAGAGAGAGAGAGAGAGATGAAAAGTGAGATTCACAACTTTTCAGTCAAGAATGTTTAAAAAGGCTTCTGAAGTTTGTAATTTGACATTTCTGACTTGATTTTCCCTTACTAAAAATGTATCAACCCCTGCAAAAAAAAATCCATTAATTATAATCCACATAATAATTCAAATTTCCTGTTGCTGCAGGATTATTTTCCTGCTGTTGCAAACTGGCTAAAATTAAGATCCTACATCTGTAAGCAGGGTTGGCTCCAGCATTTTGGGGGCCCTAAAGCAAGATTTGGTTGGGGGAGGAAAGTTTTGACTGAGCTCAGCAATACAATAGATCATATTTGGCTGGGCCATGGAATAAATTAAAGAAGGGGGTGCAAACGTATGTTTTTTGTTTGTTCGTTTTTTTTTTATCGGCAACTTACAATTGTCAAGTTTCACTTATTTTTGAGCTAGTCTGTATAAAAAAAATAGATATATATATGACCATTTTATATACTGAACAAAAATTTAATGTAACAATTCAAAAGATTTTACAGTGTTACAGTTCATATAAGGAAATCAGTCAATTGAAATACATTCAATAGGCCCTAATCTATGGATTTCACATGACTGGGAATACAGATATGCATCGGTTGGTCACAGATACCTTTTTAAAAAAGGTAGGGGCGTGGATCAGAAAACCAGTCAGTATCTGGTGTGACCACCATTTGCCTCATGCTGCGCTACATATCTCCTTTGCATAGAGTTGATCAGGCTGTTGATTGTGGCCTGTGGAATGTTGTCTCACTCCTCTTCAATGGCTGTGCGAAGTTGATGGATATTGGCGGGAACTGGACCACGCTATCGTACACGTCAATCCAGAGCATCCCAAACATGCTCAATTGGTGACATGTCTGATGAGTATGCAGGCCATTGGAAGAACTGGGGCATTTTCAGCTTCCAGGAATTGTGTACAGATCCATGCGATATGGGGCCGTGCATTATCATGCTGAAACATGAGGTGATGACGGCGGGTGAATGGCACGATAATGGGCCTCAGCATTTCGTCACGGTATCTCTGTGCATTGAAATCGGCATTGATAAAATGCAATTGTGTTCATTGTCCGTAGCTTATGCCTAACCATATGATAACCCCACCGCCACCATGGGGCACTTTGTTCACAACGTTGACATCAGCAAACCGCTCACCCATACGATGCTGTACACATGGTCTGCAGTTGTGAGGCCGGTTGGACGTACTGACAAATTCTCTAAAACAACGTTGGAAGCTTATGGTAGAGAAATGAGCATTACATTCTCTGGCAACAGCTCTGGTGGACATCCCTGCAGTCAGCAGGCCAATTGCACATCTGTGGCATTGTGTTATGTGACAAAACTGCACAATTTAGAGTGGCCTTTTATTGTCCCCAGCACAGGTGGATGGATTATCTTGGCTAAGGACAAATGCTCACTAACAGGGATGTAAACAAATTAGTGCACAACATTTGAGAGAAATAAGCTTTTTGTGCGTATGGATCTTTTATTTCAGCTCATGAAAAATGGGACTAACACTTTACATGTTGCGTTTATATTTTTGTTCAGTGTAAATGTTAAAATTGTGTGTAATATGATTGCATTTCGGAATCCCGTTCCCACTGTTGCCCCAAGATGAATGGTTTTGACCACGCTCCACTGCTTTGATTGGTGCAGCTAGAAATCACAAGTGTCTATCCTATAATGAAAAGGCACCCGCAAAATAAAATTCCACAAACTTCTTTATCTATTTTGTGCTGTTGTTACATTTGTATTGGTGTTTTGTTTCGTGTCCGATGTGTTCAGGGTTTTGTTACATATCATTTGTGGTCTGCATCATGAGAAAAGTCATTGTAGCCTATCATTTCACTTCCCCTAGCTGTGAGAACCATGGCAGGAGCACGGGCTGACGTGGCATTGCTGTAGCGCAGCCTACCAGAAGCATACCAAAGGTTGCACCGTGTCCATTACAATGTAGAATCTAGTCCAAACCGTTCAATATTTAGAATATCCATATTACCGGAGCTTCATTTTATTCTTTCTATTTCTATGGCGGATTCGCGGCCGCAATTTATGGAACGTGCAAAAACTTTGGAGATAACAATAGATGGCAAAGTAAAATATACTGGTTTTCCCTATCCATCTGTGGCGAAGTTTTCCCTTAATACTTATGACAAATCCAGCACCAGAACCAGCCACAGCCTAGCCAGCTGGCTAATCTTTTGAATACAGTGTAGCAACAACATATAACATTAGCTATCTAGATAAGGTTAGCATGCTAGCTAGCTACACTGACAGCTGTCAGTGCCCTACTTGTTGTTATTTCTCCACTCCATGTGGAAATCTCCATAACGTTCCCACCCCCAATTCGTGAATATGTACTAGCAGCCTGCGTCATTCTTCGGAGGTGGAACCTAAACGAGAAATTCCGCTATAGGACAGGAATTATGTTAAAATAGAGGCTGCTTTGCCCTCTGGTGGGGGCCTTTAAAGTTAAATTCCTAAAATTCAACACATTTTGCCATGACTTATACTGTCCCGTCCGTTGAGTACAGGATTGGACCAAGGTGCAGCGTAGAATGCATACATGTTTATTTATAAAGTAAACACACAACAAAAGCAACGTAACGTGACACTCACAATGGCCACACACACACACACACACACACACACACACACACACACACACAACACACACACACACACACACACACACACACACACACACACACACACACACACACACACACACACACACACACACACACACACACACACACACACACACACACACACACACACACACACACACACACACACACACACACACACACACACACACACACACACACACACACACACACACACACACACACACACACACACACACACACACACACACACACACACACACACACACACACACACACACACGAGTCATGATCCCACAACTAAGGTAGGCAAAATGGCTGCCTAAGTATGATCCCCAATCAGAGACAACGATCGACAGCTGCCTCTGATTGGGAACCACACCCGGCCAACATAGAAACACAATGACATAGAATGTCCACATAGAAATTCCCACACATAGATATTCACACCCTGACTAAACCAACTAGCCAACTCTATGTCAGGGCGTGACACATACCATGTTAATATGATATCTGAGTGAGAGTAACTAATAAAATCAATGGGGGCCCCCTGGAGGTCAGGGCCCCTGGGCATGTGCCCTGCGTGCCGATTCAGTATTCGGTCATGATTACTACAAGTTTAGATAGCTGGCTAGACTAACTACCAATCAAAAATGTACATGGCTAATTGTCAGATAATTTAGTGACTGGCATAACAACAGAATAATTGCTGATGCACAACCACATTTCAAAATTGCACCTGGTGTATTTTACTATTCTTACTCTCAATAGTAAGTTGAGACCCCGACTGAGTTCCAAAAAAACAACAACAACAACCTTATGTCGCTTATGCCTGGAGCCGGCCCTGTCTGTAAGAATAAAGTTGCTTGCTTCCACCCCCCTCCCATCCAACCTTCCCTCCCTCATCCTCTTACCCTCCAGCAGTATGATAGAGAAGTCCTGGGCAGTGTGGCCCTTGCGGGAGGCAAAGCACTGGTAGGCCCCAGAGTGGCTCTTCTGAGCGGCAGTGATCTGCAGGGTGTCGTTGTGGGAGCCCTGTATGGAGATGTGCTGGTCTGGGACTATAGGTTCTGTGTTCCTGTACCAGGCCACTGTGTACTCTGGAGAACCCTCCACAGCACAGGTAAAGAACAGGGTACTGCTGATACCCGTCTTCAGACTCTTAGGGGAGAGGGTCACTCGCAGGGGGTCTGTGGGAGGAGAGAGAAAACACACATGAGTAACACACACACACACAAAGACAGAAAAACAAAACAGCGTAATCAGTTGAGGAGACTCAATCCGTTTCAGGCAGTCATTAAAAAAGCAGATGGAGACATCTCTTCACATCTCTGTCCATATATGTGTGTGTGTGTGTGTGTGCGCGCGCGTGTGTGTGTGTGTGTGTGTGTGTGTGTGTGTGTGTGTGTGTGTGTGTGTAAATGTCAGTGAGCAATAAGGCAGCTGGTGGTGTGTGCTGGGGGGCATGGCTGTGCAACCCAAGCCCCCCTCGCCCTGTCAGAGTCACACTGTGTGCTGCCATGATGTGCCCACTGGCAAAGCCTGCCTGTGCTCTCTCTTGTTCTCTCTCTCTCTCTATCTCTATCTTCTCTGTGTTTATATAAATCTGTTTCTCTCTCTCATTCTTCCTTTCTCTCTGAAAGATATACTTCAATTTCTATTTTTCATTGTTCCTTCTCTGTCTCCTTTTAGTCCATCCACCCCCCTCTGCTCTCTCTCTCTCTCTCTCTCTCTCTCTCTCTCTGATAGTGACTGGTGTTGGCGGTGGTGTGAAGTGCTCATTCTCAGTGCATTACTGTCCTCTGTCTAGAGACTTGATATGACAGGGCATCATACACTACACACCCATTCATACTGATCCATTTCTCACATTATACGTGTGAATGTGTGTGTGTGTGTGTGTGTGTGTACAGAATATGAGCCTGTCTGCCACCAATTCAGAAGACAGTGTGAGTGTATCTGTCTGTCTGTCAGTCTGACATTAACAGAAAGTGCACACTGTAAGTGTGTGTCTGTTTTGGGGGTCTGTGCCAACCTTATTTCCCCTTTGCCAACCTTTCCCCCCTGCCTCACTCCTCCTTCTCCTCACACCAATTCCCTGTCCCATGGTCCCTCCCTCTTCACCACAATATCTCCTCCCTCTCCCTTTTCCTCCGTCCCACATCCCTCGACCCCCCTCCCTCCTCCTCTCCTCACCTACGACATAGAGTGCTCCAGACACTTCCTTGGAGCCGAAGCTGTTGGTGACCTCACAGGCATAGCTACCGCTGTCCTCCTGCCTGAGGTCACTGATGGTCAGACCCGTGAGGCGCCGAGTCCAGCGTGCATCAGAGGGCAGCGGGCGCCCGTCCTTTAGCCAGCGCACCGTGGGGCTGGGGTACCCCGCTGCCATGCAGGGGAGCTCCACACTCTGACCAGCCCGCACCTCCCCCGCCTGGAAACTGTCCAGGATAGAGGGAGACGACTCGGTGGGGTCTGGAAGAGAGATGGGGGGAACAGGTTATACTTTGGACTGGACTTGGGTATGGGATGTTAACAATAATTCATATACATACACTATATATACAAAAGTATGTGGACACCCCTTCAAATGAGTAGATTCGTTCAGCCACACCTGTTGTTGATAGTTGTATAAAATCGAGCACACAGCCATGCAATCTCCAACGTGCCACCGTCATAGGATGCCACCTTTCCAACAAGTCAGTTCGTCAAATTTCTGCCCTGCTAGAGCTGCCCCAATCAACTGTAAGTGCTGTTATTGTGAAGTGGAAATATCTAAGAGCAACAACGGCTCAGTCGTGAAGTGGTAGGCCACACAAGCTCACAGAATGGGACCGCAGAGTGCTGAAGCGCGCAGCGTGTAGAAATCGTCTGTCCTCGGTTGCAACACTCACTACCGAGTTCCAAACTGCCTCTGGAAGCAACATCAGCACAATAACTGTTTGTCTGGAGCTTCATGAAATGGGTTTCCATGGCCGAGCAGCTGCACACAAGCCTAAGATCACCATGCGCAATGCCAAGCATTGGCTGGAGTGGTGTAAAGCTCGCGGCCATTGGACTCTGGAGCAGTGGAAACGCGTTCTCTGGAGTGATGAATCTGGCAGTCCGACGGACGAATCTGGGTTTGGCGGATGCCAGGAGAACGCTACCTGCCCAATGCATAGTGCCAACTGTAAAGTTTGGTGGAGGAGGAATAATGGTCTGGGGCCCCTAAGTTCCAGTGAAGGGAAATCTTAACGCTACAGCATACAATGACATTCTAGACAACTCTGTGCTTCCAACTTTGTGGCAACAGTTTGGGGAAGGCCCTTTCCTGTTTCAGCATGACAATGCCCCCATGCACAAAGCGAGGTCCATACAGAAATGGTTTGTCGAGATCGGTGTGGAAGAACTTGACTGACTTGCACAAAGCCCTGACCTCAACCCCATCGAACACATTTGGGATGAATTGGAATGCCGACTGCGAGCCAGGCCTAATTGCCCAACATCAGTGCCCGACCTTACTAATGCTCTTGTGGCTGAATGGAAGTCCCCGCAGCAATGTTCCAACATCTAGAGGAAAGCCTTCCCAGAAGAGTGGAGGCTGTTACAGCAGAAAAGGGGGGACCAACTCCATATTAATGCACATGATTTTGGAATGAGATGTTCGACGAGCAGGTGTCCACATACTTTTGGTCATGTAGTGTATATTCATTCATATGCATAGACATTTATTACACACAAAACACTGTGTACCGGTACTCAGAGAAATGACATACTTTACAGTCCAACTCACCCATGACAGACAGCCTGGCTCCATTGCTCTGGCGCGTCTCTCCGCTGTATTTGTGCTTGGTAATGCAGCGGTAGGTAGAGAGGGCATCCTCCTTCTGGACATCTGAGATGTACAGAGCACCAAAGGACGTCAGGAAGAACCTGTTACCTGTAACAGATAGAGGGACAGAGAGAAAATTATCTAACAAAGCCTCCAAATAACTAAATACCCCCAACAAACAACCCAGTCAGGGCAAGGGTGTGTCACGAATTCAGCTGAGGCTGCCCCTCCTCCTTGCTCGGGCAGGCTTCGGCGTTCGTCATCACCGGAGTACTAGCTACTACCGATCCATGTGTCTATGTTCGACTTGTTTTGTCTTTATTGGTCACACCTGTTTCCCATCATGTAGTTATGTCTTCCCTATTTAACCCTCTGTCTCACACTGTGTGTTGTGCGTGTTTGTTCATGTTTTGGTTGTCGTTAGTGTGCGGGTTTGTTTCCTCCCTGCGTGGAGGTTTTTGTTCATACATTTACCTACGAGTAAAGTACGCTTTTTGATTAGCTCTGTGTCCTGCGCCTGACTTCGCCTACCGCATTACACTGACGCCTTGACAGAAACACGCACCATAATATGGAGTCAGCAGGTACAGCAATGCCAGCCGGATCGATGGAGGAACGCGTCCAACAACAAGCGGCCATGATCAGGCTCTCGGCACCGCTATGGAACGAGTGGTTAATACCATGGAGCGATGGGAGAGAGGAGGTATCCCTATACCTCCTCCAATTACACCACCACCAACACCGCTGTCCACCTCTTCACCATCTGGGTCCAGTGGGATTCGGCTCTCGCTCCCGAGGGCATATGACGGTACAGCTGCCGGGTGTCAGGGTTTTCTGCTCCAGGTAGAGCTCTACCTGGCAACCATCCACCCGGCTCCTTCGGGATACGAGAGCGTGTCTGCCCTCATCTCCTGTCTGTCCGGTAAGGCGCTCGCGTGGGCCAACGCCGAGTGGGGGGGAATAGACGCCGCAACTGTAAGCTATGCAAAGTTTACCCGCCGCTTTAGGGCGGTATTCGATCATCCACCAGAGGGGAGAGCGGCTTTTCCACCTCAGACAGGAAAAGAGGAGCGCACAGGAGTTTGCATTGGACTTTCGAACTCTGGCTGCCAGCGCAGGATGGAATGAGAGGGCCCTTATTGACCACTACCGTTGCAGCTTAAGGGAGGACGTCCGTTGGGAACTGGCCTGCAGGGACACCAACCTAAACCTGGACCAACTGGTGGATATGTCAATCCGACTGGATAACCTGTTGGCCACCCGCGGACGTCCAGATCAGGGGCCGTCCATTCCATCCCCCAGCACCTCCGAACCTACCCCTATGGAGCTCGGAGGTGCTGCTCTGAGGGAGACCGGTAGAGGGGCCGTCCCCTGCACCAACTGTGGCCGCAGAGGACACACTGCTGGTCAGTGCTGGGGAGGGCCTTCAAGGAGTCGAGGCAGTAGGTAGAGCACTGGTGGACCGTTTCAGGTGAGTAGGCACCCAACTCACCCAGAGCTCCCTGTTGTGCATATGTGTATAGATGTTGTATTTCCAGAGTTTTCTTCTCATTCCCAGCATAAGGCGCTAGTAGATTCAGGCGCAGCTGGGAACTTTGTTGATCGTCAGTTTACCCGTAGGTTAGGGATTCCTATTGTGCCAGTTTATGTGCCCTTCCCTATACATGCCCTAGATAGTCGCCCTTTAGGGTCAGGTTTGATTAGGGAGGTCACAGCTCCACTCTGGATGAAGACAAAGGAGGGGCATGAGGAAACAATTAGTCTATATCTGATTGATTCTCCTGCGTTTCCAGTGGTGTTGGGGCTTCCATGGTTAACCTCTCATAACCCCACTATTTCGTGGCAACAGAGGGCTCTCAAGGGATGGTCTAGTCAGTGCTCGGGGAGGTGTGTAGGTGTTTCCGTAGGGGCAACTACGGTGGAAAGTCCAAACCAGGTTTCCACCATGCACATTCCGCCTGAATATGCCGATTTGGCTCTTGCCTTCTGTAAAAAGAAGGTGACTCAATTACCACCCCATCGACAAGGGGATTGTGCGATAAACCTCCAGGTAGGCGCTGCGCTTCCCCGGAGTCACGTGTATCGTCTGTCACAGGAGGAGACGGCGGCTATGGAAACATATGTCACCGAATCTCTGAGGCAAGGATACATTCGGCCTTCCACTTCCCCTGTGTCATCGAGTTTATATTATTGTGAAGAAGGATGGTGGCTTACGCCCGTGCATTGACTACCGTGGTCTTAATCAGATCACTGTAAAATACAGCTATCCACTACCTCTGATTGCTAGTATGACGGAGTCATTGCACGGGGCGCGCTTCTTCACGAAATTGGATCTCAGGAGCGCGTACAACCTGGTGCGTATCCGGGAGGGAGATGAGTGGAAGACAGCATTCAGTACCACCTCTGGTCACTATGAGTACCTCGTCATGCCATACGGTACGGTTTGATGAATGCTCCATCAGTCTTCCAATCCTTTGTTGATGAGATTTTCAGGGACCTGCACGGACAGGGTGTAGTGGTGTATATAGATGACATTCTCATATACTCCGCTACACGGGCTGAGCATGTGTCTTTGGTGCGTCAGGTGCTTGGTCGACTGTTGGAGCATGACCTGTAAGTGAAGGCGGAGAAATGTCTGTTCTTCCAAGAGTCCATCTCCTTCCTAGGACACCGCCTGTCCGCGTCAGGTGTGGAGATGGAGATTGACCGCATTTCGGCCGTGCGTAATTGGCCGACTCCAACCACGGTGAAGGAGGTGTAGCGATTCTTGGGTTTTGCCAACTACTACCGGAGGTTTATCCGGTGCTTTGGTCAGGTAGCGGCTCCCATTACCTCCTTCCTGAAGGGAGGACTGGTGCGTCTACAGTGGTCAGCTGAGGCAGACAGGGCTTTTGGTCATCTGAAGGACCTGTTTACTTCAGTTCCAGTGCTGGCTCATCCGGATCCCTCCTTGGCATTCCAGGTTGAGGTGGACGCGTTCGAGGCTGGGATAGGAGCTGTACTGTCTCAGCACTCGGGTACGCCACAGAAAACTCTGCCCCTGTGCTTTCTTTTCTAAGAAGCTCAGTCCGGCGGAGCACAACTATGATGTGGGGGACCGGGAGCTGATAGCTGTGGTTAAAGCTCTGAAAGTGTGGAGGCATTGGCTTGAGGGGGCTAAACACCCTTTTCTCATTTTGACTGACCATCGCAATCTGGAGTACATCCAGGCGGCAGGGAGGTTGAACTCTCGGCAGGCAAGGTGGGCCATGTTCTTCACTCATTTTGTGTTTACGCTTCCTTACAGACCAGGTTCCCAGAACGCTAAGGCAGACGCCCTGTCCCGACGGTATGACACAGAGGAGAGGTCCATTGAGCCCACTCCCATACTTCCGGCGTCGTGTCTGGTGGCACCGGTGGTGTGGGAGGTTGACGCGGACATTGAGCGGGCATTACGTACCGAGCCTACTCCCCTGCAGTGTCCAGAGGGTCGTATATACGTGCTGTTCGAGGTTCGCGATCGCTTGATCTATTGGGCTCACACGTCACCCTCCTCTGGTCATCCTGTCATTGGTCGGACAGTGCACTGTCTTAGTGGGAAGTACAGGTGGCCCACTTTAGCCAAGGACGTGAGGGTTTAAGTTTCATCCTGCTTGGTGTGCGCCCAGTGTAAGGCACCTAGACACCTGCCCAGAGGGAAGTTACAACCCCTACCCATTCCACAACGGCCGTGGTCCCACCTATCGGTGGATTTTGTTACGGACCTTCCCCCCCTCACAAGGGAACACCACGATCCTGGTCGTTGTGGATCGGTTTTCTAAGTCCTGCCGTCTCATTCCTATGCCAGGTCTCCCTACAGCCCTACAAACTGCAGAGGCCCTATTTACACACGTCTTCCGGCACTACGGGGTACCTGAGGATATTGTGTCGGATTGGGGTCCCCAGTTCACCTCAAGGGTCTGGAGGGCGTTCATGGAACGTCTGGGGGTCTCGATCAGCCTCACCTCAGGTTTTCACCCCGAGAGTAATGGGCAGGTAGAAAGAGTCAACCAGGATGTGGGTAGGTTTCTGCGGTCATATTGCCAGGACCGGCAGGGGGAGTGGTTGGGTTATATCCCCTGGGCAGAGATGGCCCAAAACTCACTCCGCCACTCCTCTACTAACCTTACTCCTTTCCAGTGTGTGTTAGGTTATCAGCCGGTCCTGGCACCTTGGCATCAGAGCCAGATCGAGGCTCCTGCGGTGGATGAGTGGTTTCGGCGCTCGGAAGAGACCTGGAACGCTGCTCATGTACACCTGCAGCGGGCCATCAGGCGACAAAAGGCGAGCGCCGATCGCCACCGCAGTGAGGCTCTGGCTCTCGACCCGAAACCTGCCCTGCCGGAAGCTGGGTCGGCAGTTTGTGGGGCCATTTAAAGTCCTGAGGAGATTAAACGAGGTTTGTTATAGGTTACAGCTTCCTCTTAATTACCGTATTAACCCCTCGTTCCATGTGTCTCTCCTCAGGCCGGTAGTAGCTGGTCCACTCCAGGAGTCTGAGGTACGGGAGGTTCCTCCGCCCCCACTGGACATCGAGGGGGCACCGGCGTACTCGGTCCGGTCCATCTTGGATTCGAGGCGTCGGGTGGGGGGCCTGCAGTATCTCATGGAGTGGGAGGGGTACGGTCCGGAGGAACGGTGCTGGGTCCCTAGGAGGGACATCCTCGATCCCTCCATGTTGAGGGATTTCCACTGTAGTCATCCGACTCGCCCTGCTCCGCGTCCTCCTGGCCGTCCCCGAGGCCGGGGTCAAGGGAGGTACTGTCACGAATTCAGCCGAGGCTGCCCGTCGGCGTTCGTCGTCACCTGAGTACTAGCTACTACCGCTCCATGTGTCTATGTTCGACTTGTTTTGTCTTTATTGGTCACACCTGTTTCCCATCATGTAGTTATGTCTTCCCTATTTAACCCTCTGTCTCACACTGTGTTGTGCGTGTTTGTTCATGTTTTGGTTGTCGTTAGTGTGCGGGTTTGTTTCCTCCCTGCGTGGAGGTTTTTGTTCATACATTTACCTACGAGTAAAGTACGCCTTTTGATTAGCTCTGTGTCCTGCGCCTGACTTCGCCTACCGCATTACACTGACGCCTT